AATGTCAGGAATTGCTATTTATTTCGCTGGAAATGGATCATATAGAAATTGGAAGAGAAGGGACTGGGGACGAGTGTGTTTCCACAACAACCATATAAACAAGCCAAATTATTTGACTTAGTTGCACCCACTAAGTGTGTATGCCAAGTTTCATTGAATTTATTAAATAGTCGCAAAGATATCAGACTTTCTTGTTATTATCACTATCTCAAGTCATACTTGTGACGTCACAACTCAAAATTTAGAAAGTGTGATAACTTGGGAATGAGATGAGATACAAATAAACTGTAAACATCATTCTTCATCATTTGAGCAGTCCCTTTCCATAAAATAATAAAAAATGAGGCAAAACTTTCGTTTTATAATCACTTTATTAACTGAATTTATTTACTGGTTGAGTCAGTTTTCTTCGATGTACATTACTGCAGGATACATTACTGCAGGAAATAATTAGATTAAACTTTTTGACAAAACTATAAAAATCATGATCGAAGTTTTTGAGATTGATGAAACTTTGTTTGAAAAACTCTTCAACTAGTAAATAAGTCTGTTATAAACTCAAACTTAGGATATAGGTCATATATTTGACTTATATTCCTTGTTGTTGGATTATAATCTATACATACAAATGATAACTATATGTATAGAATGGCTTTGTTTTCATATCTAAAGGTACATTTAGTAATATTAGTGATGATCAGTTAGATGAACTTGTTCGCCAAACATCAAGTGATCATCCCAATTTTGGTATACGGATGATGAAAGGATACCTGCAAAGCAAGGGATGGCGTGTGCAACGTGACCGGATAAGATGTTCACTGCTGAGAACAGATCCAATTGGTCTAATGCAACGTTGGCAAAAAGCTATAAAACGGCGTTCATACAACGTGAAATATCCTCGCTCCCTGTGGCACATTGATGGAAACCACAAACTTATTAGGTATGATTTTGGTTGCCTACAATTGGGGCAAGGTCATGCCACCCTAAAATTTGCCAATTAATTAACTGCAGCAAAATAAAATTGTATACCACTGATACCTTATTGGACATTTTTAATCCCCACTCTGTAATTTACCGCTTGGTTTGGCTTTGGGTTGTATAAATATACATGATTTACAAGGGAAAATTGTAAACTAAATGTTTGTTTTATGAGCTATTTTACTTAATATTAATGACCTTTCACCCCCGTTAAATAAGTTTGTCTAACTTCTATTTTAACAACAGTCCCTAACATTCCATTAAAAGAGGTTTCCTTCTTGTTTTAGTTGGAGAATTGTGGTACATGGAGGAATAGATGGCTATTCCAGAATGCCTATATTCTTGAAAGCATCCGACAACAACAGGGCAGAAACTGTTCTGCAATTGTTTCTTGAAAGTGTTGCAGAATTCGGACTTCCGTCAAGGGTACGTTCAGATAAAGGTGGGGAAAACGTAGATGTTGCTGCTTGCATGGTACGACAGTAGAAATTTCTGAGTTCCGAGGAAACTGTGCATGATACGGATTATTCGGCCTCTTTTGTATAACACGATTCAACATTTTTTCCATGCAAAACTTCATGACCGGTTTTAGGCCATAATAAACCAGTATAAAATTAAACAATGAATGCCAAATACGACCTCGTGTGACTATTTCGTGGTAATATGGCAGCAGATCTAGGCTCGAGATTTCTTCGTCAGCAGAGCTGGTACCGTTTCCAAGTTTATTCATATAATTAAGAAATTGCTCGCAAAACTTCACAGAGGACACGCCATCAATACAGGAATGGTTGAAGTTAAACATTAAGGTATTTGCATAATCCTTAGTATCCTGCATGAATTCCTCTTGTAATATTACGACTCGCCATAACAGACCATTTCCTCTCGGTTTTACTGTATATTCAAACCAAACACTTTGCCAGTCAGAAGCATTTACATCAGAAGTAGTAATGTCTAACATTGTAATCACTTCATTGATTTCCTTGATTTCGAAATATCTATCTCCGTTCGCCATAGTTGCAATCACTGCTCGAAGCATCGGCTGTCGTTTGGATAACAGCACCAGAGCGTCGTATACGTGCTGGTATACCAGGCTCTGTTTTGATGTTGTTGATATCGACACACATATATTTGTGCTACCAGATTTATCCAGGGAAAGCATATCGAAAATTTCTTCGAAATGACCAAGTCGACGTCGGTTTGAACCAGCTGAGTTTGGTGACGACAATACCCTCGCATCGCCAGTGAGGTATCTTATAATCTTTGAAAGCGTGTATAAAAGAAATACACAGACTACAGTGAGGAATGCTTGTATCCAGAATCCACTTAACATATTGAATGACACCAATACAGACAGCCAAACTAAACCTAACCACGTGACCTAACGTATGCACCAGATAAAAGTCTTATTAATTGTACAAGACTAGTCTATCTTTCAATGCAACATCTGGAATTTTAATTATATTGCGTGCATATTTTCTATCAACAAATCACGATTCTGCAGATGCGTGGGCGGGGTGTTTATAGTTGCTCAATAATCACGATTGGTTCTACAGTTTCAGATTCATTTTCAGATTCATATTCAGATTTAAATTTGAATCTGAAACGGGAACAGATGTCCCACATGACATACACTGCAGAAAGTGAATTACTCATGATCAGTTTTACGGAATAAACCTGATCATGGAAGGTGACCCATCTTAAGCCCGCCGCACACTTAGCTCAGCAAGTAGCTCTCGTGTGCGGATAGTTTTCGTGAGGATTTGACCTCTCGAGGCCTTGAGGAAAATATCTATCGTGTTTGATATTTTTCGCCTCGCGAGGAGAAAATCTCATCGTCTGCGGATGTTGTGAGCTAAGTGCTGAGCTGTTTGAATCAATTAGCCAATGACAAACCATGGTTTCTTCATGTGACTTGGGACAAAATGGAGGAAAATGCTAATGATTTTGTCAATTGTGTTGTTGTTGAGTAGTTTTCCCAACGTTTGCGGTGAAAATACATAGCTGAGCTAGCTGCCTCGCGAGGCGGTTAGCTCAGCAAGTTTCTCTCTTGTGCGCCGGGCTTAAGACTATTGCGCAATTGACAATACTATTTTCAATTTATTAAAGACCATGTAAAGTCCGCTCTGCGCAGGCTTACATTCCAATGGTCGGGACCCAACCGTTGGAATATTATCAATATTTCGTATCTCTAGTCTGTTATTAATATTTCGTATGAATCTCTAGTCTGTATTCATTATCAAGCATAGCGAACCAGAAGAGTGTTAAAAATTCAGTATAATATATATCTAATCATATTTTACAACTGTACGTAGCACTGAGTTCAAAATGTAAACAAAGCGTTTGTTTACATTACGGTGTTGGAGACTGTCCATTATTATTATTATTATTATGTAGCATATTATTAATTTTAGTTTGTTATATATAACGATTCCGATTTTAGGTTAATCAAACTTTTATATTAAACATTACTTTACATAAATTTTATATTAGTTAAATTTAGAATATTATACTAGGTCGGTCAAGGTGGCAAGTTGTACCAAGGGGTACCAGCACTTTGAGAACTTGTACCAAGGGGTAGTAGCACATTGGCAACTTGTACCAACTTGTACCAACTTGTATAAAGTTCGGGTCAATGCGTGCCTGTTACAAAAGGCAACACAAAATATCTGCATGCGCCATGCGCATAAAATATTTAGTGTTGAGACAAACTTCCTCGAGAGCGTGACTTTGTGATATTGCGAGCGAAGAGAATCTTAGTGAACCTGTAATTTGTTGAATTTGTTTTATTTGTTCTAATATATATATCCAAACTGTATATCGTCATTGTGAATTTATTTTGTGGTTTTAATTTGTACGTGAATTTGTTGGGCGAAACAAGGGAGGCAATCCTATGGCGTTCAGTTGCGGACAAAATAGCGTTTAAACAAACAGTGACGTAAAAGCCCGGTTTTCGCGTGATTTCGTTGTCGTGAATCCAATGTAAACAACTCGCCGAAAGGTGTCGAAGAAATCGGCATTTTCACAGATTTTTCCCAACCAGATTCCATTGAAATCTTTACGAAATTTGAAAATACACACAGATCGCTAGCCAGAATGCAAAAAGTTGGACTATCCTTTTATTAATATAGCATGAGAAAATCAACAAAATGTCGATACAAAATTATCGCTCGCTCACTCGTAAAGTATGTGGCAGCCATGGCCGGCCGCGCACTCGCCCCAATGTTTTATCAGGCGCTGTAAAACACGGGCGGCGAACAGGGTTGCCAGGTTTTCTGGGACAGAAAAAGCCAAACTGAATATCAAAATAAGCCAAAAAGAGCCAAACTCTAAATTATGGCGAGGGGATTGGGGAAGTCGTCTATTTACACCGTTTTGGCTGACACAATCACACAAAGAATAGTAGACTACAAATTTACAATTTACACTCGAAATGTTTTGCTATTTAATTCATGAAACTACACATTTACTAGTTTATGACTTTATGTAACATATGATAAGGCCTCAGTTTATATGTAGTGCAGAAAGTTTACAGTTTACATTTATTGTTGTTGACTTGTTACTCAAGTAACTCAACTTCGTCTTCGTCATTCAAAGAATCAGTTGCTTTCTTGTAAATATCTTTTGTAAAAAGTTCCAGCATTCGTTTAGATGGCTTCAAGTCCTTGCAGCACATTTCTCTAAAATACAGATGAGTGCGGATTCTCACGATCGCTTCAAGCATGGAAGAACTCATCTTGTTGCGGGACTTCGTCTTGATTCCCGTAACGTAAGAGAACATGCGCTCTACCACGGCATTGCTTGTTGGCGTTGTAAGACAGGCTAGTGCATAGGTTGCAAGATCTTCAAATTGGCCGTCTTGGTACTCTAGCACATCGGACCAAAAGCTAATGGTATCGGTCGGAATGCCATCTTCAAAAGTGCCACTCTCTTGCCAATTCACATACAAAATGCTGCGGTACTGATTGTCGATTTCATCAATCTTTTCGTGTATCAGATGCTGCATTGGTAGTTTAGCCAAAGCGATACGCCCAACTTGGTTTAGAATCTTCGAAGGGTGTAGATGGGATAAGCCTTGAAAAATGTCCTTAGAAGAAGGAAGACGTTTCTGAGCCTGGGCTGCCGCTTCCAGAAGCATTGTGTGGCATCCCCCGTAGACTTCGCGAACTTTACGAACTGTATGTTCATCATTGTTTTGGTGGCGAATTAGGGCATCTGCTTCGAAGACAAACTTTGCTCCGTAATCCACTTTATCCGTCGGTAAGGGTACACCAGACGAACTGTAAACACAACCTTTAAGGCTGTCATAGTAGACGCTGAGCTCCTTCATCATCGCATGTGCTTCAAGATCAGTTGCTTGGAAGAATGCATTCACTCTCTCGACTTCCGACACCACGGGTGATAGAAAGTGGAAGTAGAGATGGTTTATTGGATCATTGAGCATTTCTTTGATCATTCTTGCCTTAAATCGAACATTTGCATCTACTTCGGATTCCGCAAGAGAAAAATATGTCTGCAATATCTCCCAATTAGTGAGGATATTGTAGATTACTTTTCCCCGCACCAACCACCTCGTTTGATTGCATTTCTGAAAAGGAAGAGGAAGGGTTGACTCTTCTGCAGGGCATCCTTCGAATGCTGTAAAGAGCTGCTTGTAGGAATCACGACGTACACTACTCTTAGAGAACCACTTTGGTATTTCAGCGGATAGCATGAAACCAATGTTTGCAGGCATTTTTTCAAAAGCATGTTTGATGCAGAGGGCAAGCGAATGGCAGACACACTTAATGAGGATGCAGTTTGGAGACTCTTCTTTGATACGGGACCATACTGAGTTATGCTCCCCGACCATAACAGATGCTCCGTCACTGGCATAACCGACACAATTCGCAAGACTTAGGCCAGCGTTCTCCAGCGAACCTTTCAATGCTTGAAACAAATCCTCGCCCGTTGCTTTAATTACTGGTATGAGGCTCAGAAGGGCGGTAACGATTTTTTTCTCCGACTTGCTGTAGAAGCGAATGATCACGCAAAGAAGTTTATTACATGAAACATCTGTTGACTCATCCAAAATGACGCAATATTTCTGACCAGCCCTATCTTCACACAAATCTCTGTACAGGGCAGGAGCGATCACTTCTTTGATTAGTAGGCTGCATTTAGTTCGATGTAACTTCAAGTGTTCCAGACTACTGCCTTTTCCATGGTTTACCATAATTTCGTCCAGGTGGTCGATGGCCATGATCGATGTGTGGCATGTTATTGCAAGAGCAAGTTGAAGTTCCATCTCTTTAATATGATCATTGACATTACGAGGTGCAAGTGATATTTTGGAATTATGAGAAACCAAATTTGCTTGTCTTTTATGTTTCGCAGATTCTTCGTGTTTGCTGATGTTTGACAACCTTGGGGTGATATTTGTTCGGCATAGCGAGCAATGCGCATCGTCTGATCCATCCATTGCTTTTTTAATCCAGGGGTACTTTCTTGTCCAATCCGACTTGAACTTACGCGATGAATCATAATGACTCTTCCACCGATTTCCTCGATTAGTCGACGCCGTCGCCGACGGCTTGCTTAAACTCATTTTCAAAGACGTTAAAATAAATCACCTTGATTATTTTAGTTGTTTACGAATTAGTTGTTTACGAACTTAAAATTAGTTTTTAGAAGGATCAAAAAATTTTCATGGTTGTCGGACGTCTGCGAAGACAGTAGCAAATAGCAACGAAGTGAGAACTTTGCTGTCATTGGTTGGAACTTGGAAATGATCCTATTAAATATTAAGCTTTGAAATTTTTTATAAAGAAAAATGAAGCTATATTTGATTAAATAAATACGAATATATGATTTTAACTCCATTTTATAAAAAGAAGCCAAAATAAGCCAGATAATAAAGATAAGCCAAACAATATTTTCCTAAGCCAAGCGCAAGAAAAAGAAGCCAAAATCGTGAAATCTGGCTTAAAAAGAGCCAAGTTGGCAACCCTGGCGGCGAAACGGCTATGGCGCCCTTGATCTATGTGTGATGCAGGTCCCTGATTCGATCTGTTTGTTTTGACTTGCTTTTTTAATAAAATTACTAAGGTAAACAAGTACAATTGGAGCTGAATTCACAATGTATCTTGGGGTCTGTGCTACTACTAGACAGAAGCTTTTTTTTGAATTCTTAATCACGGCTGATTAGGGAATGTTGTAGTGTACGTAGATATAAGTCCGGGAATCTCACTAGCTCACGAGGTATTAAATGAAGATCGATTGTTTTTGCAAAACAACTTCGTTCGTGTGTTTGTTTATAAGATGGAAAAAAAAACGAGACAAAGTTTTTTAAACGGCTGTTGTCGTATGCGTAAAAGCTGCAACTGGAATATGTGTTTGGAAATCAGGTATGTTCTATAACTTATCCATACCTAGCGTATTAGCGGCTTTCCTATACTGGCTACGAGGAGGTGCGTTCAATCTCGAACACACCTGCTGACCGGTATGTTTAGGTGGTGGGTTCGAGATCGATGTTTTGGCGGCGGCCATTATGAAGCGATTTGAACAAATTTCAGACGAAGATTTAAATAAAAAAATAAATTAACTGTTTTTAATTGTTTTATAATTATTATTTTTTTATTTTGTGTGATGAAAATGGAATATTCTATATTCAAAGTGGAAAAAAAGATAGATGGCTGCCGAAATTTCTTCGGCACGAGCAGGTTTATATAAATCTTGGCATTGTTTTCGCAGATTGTGTTCATTTTCTCTTTTGAAGAAAAAGGGAGTATTGTAGAGAATTTTTTTAGCTTTAATTTAAGCCTAAGTTTGTTTGTTTACGTAGTATGTGCCAGCTAAAATGTTCGTTATCCAAACACGAAATTATATACTAAAAAGTAAAATGAGTATAAAATTCTTCAGTACTTTTTAGTATTTTACTGAAATGGCATGTGATAAAAACCAAACATACTTGCAGGTTCGGTGAGTCCGGGATTGGACGCACCTCCGGTGGCTGGAAGTTCCACTTCCAGCCATCCAGGGTGCGTCCAATCCCGGACTCACCGAACCTGCAAGTACGTTTGGTTTTTATCCCATACACCGAGCCATACACACATTTGTAGCTCTTCGCGATATATTCGTCGATGTTTTGTGAACATTTTCCCGGCCAAAAAAATCACTGAGCAAGAAAATACTTCTTTATCTACGTCTAGATTACCTTTACTGCATTTTTTCTTTGGTTTTTCTTCAGTCTCAGTATGTTAGTCACAGAAAAAAGTTCTTTAAAGTTTAGGTTTATCGGCTAAATCTTGTCCGCCATATTTGTTATTGTTATTGAAACGTAAGCAGTTTAGCGGGTGAGTTCGGGCGAAAAGCAGGTGAGTTCGGCAAAAAGCAGGTGAGTTCGACGACAAGCTCACCTGCTCTAAACCAATCAGAAAGCCGCTTTTAACACAGGTATGGGATAAGATATTGAACGCACCTCAGCTCCTCGTAGCCAATAGTAAAGCCGCTAATACGCTAGGTATGAGATAAAAATACATGCTTTTTGGAAATTTTTTGATTTTGGAGTTGTGCGTTCGAGTTTGACCAGATGAAACGCCATAAAAACAGCAAATTCTTTTTATCAAAAACCTTTTTCTCGTTTATTTTGTATTCTTTTTCGAAAGGTTAATCTAAATCTGAACTTTTCTTTTTGCAACTTTGTGTTCATATTAATCGGACTATTAAAGGAATGATTCTAAAAGTACAACTCTACCTTTGGCTGCCACCTTCGATATCCTGCAGTTCGAATTCCTTCGTTAACTTCGAGTTTTTGAAAGCTGACACGAATGAAACAAACAGAAAAAAGTATGTTTAAATAAAAAAGCCGGTTTTCTGTTAGTTTAATTTGGGTACATTATAACTTGATTTTTATTTGTGCAAACTTTTAGGGCATGTTATTGTTTTCCACCTAGGGAAAAATTGCGCCTTGTGCGCTTTGTTTGGCATGACCGAATTTATGTTCAGAACTCATGGGCTGCATGCATTGTGTAGATTTCGGCATGTAAATGTCAAAAGTAAAGGCAAAAATATTTTTAAAAATTAAAAAAGCCCATTATCATTTGGTGATTTGATGAAGATTAGGTACTTGAGTTATACAAGAACATCAAGATGAAGCTAGTTTTCATATATTGTGCATGAAATATTAGTAAAAGTTAAACATTTTCCGCGCTTGTAAAAGTTAAACATTTTCCGCGCTTGTAAAACTGCGACAACAAACTATCGCTTGCTTGTATTCCATGCATGTGTAGATTTTGGCATGTACATGTCAAAAATAAAGGGGAAAAAATTGATTTGCTGAAAATTAGGTACTTGAATTATACAAAAACATCAAAATGAAGCTAGTTTTCATATATTGTGCATGAAATATTTAAAAGTTAAACATTTTCCGCGCTTGTAAAACTGCGACAACAAACTATCGCTTGACGCTTGCTTGTATTCCATGTGTAGATTTCGGCATGTACATGTCAAAATAAAGGCAAAAAATGTTTAAAAATTTAAAAAGCCCATTATCATTTGGTGATTTGCAGAAAATTAGATACTTGAATTATACAAAAACATTAAAATGAAGCTAGTTTTCATATATTGTGCATGAAATATTTACAGTTAAAAATTTTCCACGCTTGTAAAACTGCGACATCGCTGTAAACGTTATGCAATTTGGAGTCTTTTTGGATATTTCAGTTGCATACTGTATAAAGTTCGAAAAGAGAGGTAAAACAACCTTTAACATAATAAAAACGTAATTTTCTGCTTGCTCCTTATAATTGAATATTTTCCCTAACTTTTATCTTGATTTGAATGTCTGAATATGTTAATGAAAATGTTTCCATTGTTTTCTAAATTGACAATTGTTTCCTAACTTTATTAAAACAAGGTCACAAGTTGTGTCATTGTAAATTACGCAAGTGACCTGGTCATAAAACTTTAAATTAAAAAAAAGCCCATTTTCTAACCTTTCAGGTCGAAAGTATAACTATAATTATAAATAATTTAAAGGGTTGAAGTTAACTTTTGTTCCACTCGGTGTGGCTATAAAACTCGACTACAATATGTCATTGCCTGCAAAATGTAAATATATTTTATGATAAAATCGGTATGCATTCAAATAATTTCAGAGTTTAAAAATGCTTTTCTAACTCCAGCGATGTAATTTGCAAAACTAATCAATTGCAAGAGTCTCTATTTTATAACCGTTAATTTTTTTCCATTTTAAGGATGGATTTACCTTAACAAATTGTACTTTTTGATTGCCTTTAAATATTTTTGTCTCTTGTTTTTGCTTTGCTTCATCTTTAAAAAATCCCGCTTTTTCCGCGCATTTTGCGCGCTCGCGCCAGTCTCCCGTGCATCACACATGGTCAGGCAAATATTAGCGCATTGCACCGCCCGTGTTTTACTACGCCCTGGTTTTTGCAACCCCCGGCAGTATGTCGGAATAAACCTTGAAAGGGCCTACTGGTTGGCACTGACTAAAATACTGAGTCCAACAGGGATTTCTTAAACTATTTAATTTTACTAAAGTTACCTAATACATATATATAAAGTATAAACGCTAAGGCTAAAGCACATTCATTCCAATCATATTTTCGCAACATAATATGATATAATCATACAACTAGCGCCTATGTCACTCAGCGTGTCACTATTAAAATGTCTGTATTTACGACAACAAAAATTATTAACTGAGGCTAAACTAAATGTCAAATGTTTCTCGCTATTTATACCAATACACAATATAAATCCAATGACTTTAACCAATAACTTTTACTAATAGCTGACTAGCAATGGGTAACAATTTCCTTTTCCCCTTAGGCTACATTTTGTGACATTTTACTCAGTATATTGAAGCAAAGATTAGCAAATTTCTCCATATGCTTAGTATGAACTGCATCATTACTGACAATTTGCCATGTCATTTTACCATTAATAGTGTGGATAAAATGGCAAAATGTATAAGGCAAACCATGAGCAAGAACATTAATAAAACATTCGTGCAGTACATACGGCTCAGGCTGATGATTGCCGAAATTGAAACTTCCAAAACTTGACATTACATTGCAGCCGCCTTTCACAAATACATCATCACTGACCCAGAGATCGAATAGTTTTCTTGGTTCTAGTAGTCCATTCACGACCGTCGCTTCGGATACATATGCTTCTTTCTTAACAAAATCCTTTATTTGTTGCGTAGTTTCTTGGGCTAATTTCCAGAAGTCGGCCGTATTACCAGTCACATATTTCATGTAAATATTTTCACACGAATACGCAAAATACCCAAGATAGTCTTTGTGCGGTTTCGGAACACAGAAGCGTTGAGCTTCGATGGTAAACGGCAAACCTAACTCCATAGATTTATCCGGCCCTATAAGCTTGCAAAAAGCTAAATGGGTTGCAGCTGCGATAGCTCCTGTCACTGTGCAATCATTCGCTTTGCAGGCTTGTATAATATCCTTCGTTTTATTTTCAGTAAAAACGTTTACACTCAGTCGACATGGTACGACAGTAGAAATTTCTGAGTTCCGAGGAAACTGTGCATGATACGGATTATTCGGCCTCTTTTGTATAACACGATACAACATTTTTTCCATGCAAAATTTCATGACCGGTTTTAGGCCACAATAAGCCAGTATAAAATTAAACAATGAATGCCAAATGCGACCTCGTGTGACTATTTCGTGGTAATATGGCAGCAGATCTAGGCTCGAGATTTCTTCGTCAGCAGAGCTGGTACCGTTTCCAAGTTTATTCATATAATTAAGAAATTGCTCGCAAAACTTCACAGAGCACACTCCATCAATACAGGAATGGTTGAAGTTAAACATTAAGGTATTTGCATAATCTTTAGTATCCTGCATGAATTCCTCTTGTAATATTACGACTCGCCATAACAGACCATTTCCTCTCGGTTTTACTGTATATTCAAACCAAACACTTTGCCAGTCAGAAGCATTTACATCAGAGGTAGTAATGTCTAACATTGTAATCACTTCATTGATTTCCTTGATTTCGAAATATCTATCTCCGTTCGCCATAGTCGCTATCACTGCTCGAAGCATCGGCTGTCGTTTGGATAACAGCACCAGAGCGTCGTATACGTGCTGGTATACCAGGCTCTGTTTTGATGTTGTTGATATCGACACACATATATTTGTGTTACCAGATTTATCCAGGGAAAGCATATCGAAAATTTCTTCGAAATGACCAAGTCGACGTCGGTTTGAACCAGCTGAGTTTGGTGACGACAATACCCTCGCATCGCCAGTGAGGTATCTTATAATCTTTGAAAGCGTGTATAAAAGAAATACACAGACTACAGTGAGGAATGCTTGTATCCAGAATCCACTTAACATATTGAATGACACCAATACAGACAGCCAAACTAAACCTAACGTATGCACCAGATAAAAGTCTTATTAATTGTACAAGACTAGTCTATCTTTCAATGCAACATCTGGAATTTTAATCATATTGCGTGCATATTTTCGATCAACAAATCACGATTCTGCAGCTGCGTGGGCGGGGTGTTTATAGTTGCTCAATAATCACGATTGGTTCTACAGTTTCAGATTCATTTTCAGATTCATATTCAGATTTAAATTTGAATCTGAAACGGGAACAGATGTCCCACATGACATACACTGCAGAAAGTGAATTACTCATGATCAGTTTTACGGAATAAACCTGATCATGGAAGGTGACCCATCTTAAGCCCGCCGCACACTTAGCTCAGCAAGTAGCTCTCGTGTGCGGATAGTTTTCGTGAGGATTTGACCTCTCGAGGCCTTGAGGAAAATATCTATCGTGTTTGATATTTTTCGCCTCGCGAGGAGAAAATCTCATCGTCTGCGGATGTTGTGAGCTAAGTGCTGAGCTGTTTGAATCAATTAGCCAATGACAAACCATGGTTTCTTCATGTGACTTGGAACAAAATGGAGGAAAATGCAAATGATTTTGTCAATTGTGTTGTTGTTGAGTAGTTTTCCCAACGTGTGCGGTGAAAATACATAGCTGAGCTAGCTGCGTCGCGAGGCGGTTAGCTCAGCAAGTTTCTCTCTTGTGCGCCGGGCTTAAGACTATTGCGCAATTGACAATACTATTTTCAATTTATTAAAGACTACGTAAAGTCCGCTCTGCGCATATGCTCTGCGCAGGCTTACATTCCAATGGTCGAATGGTCGGGACCCGACCGTTGAATATTATTAATATTTCGTATCTCTAGTCTGTTATTAATATTTCGTATGAATCTCTAGTCTGTATTTATTTTCAAGCATAGCGAACCAGAAGAGTGTTAAAAATTCAGTACAATATATATCTAATCATATTTTACAACTGTACGTGGCACTGAGTTCAAAATGTAAACAAAGCGTTTGTTTACATTACGGTGTTGGAGACTGTCCATTATTATTATTATTATGTAGCATATTATTAATTTTAGTTTGTTATATATAACGATTCCGATTTTAGGTTAATCAAACTTTTATATTAAACATTACTTTACATAAATTTTATATTAGTTAAATTTAGAATATTATACTAGGTCGGTCAAGGTGGCAAGTTGTACCAAGGGGTACCAGCACTTTGAGAACTTGTACCAAGGGGTAGTAGCACATTGGCAACTTGTACCAACTTGTACCAACTTGTATAAAGTTCGGGTCAATGCGTGCCTGTTACAAAAGGCAACACAAAATATCTGCATGCGCCATGCGCATGAAATATTTAGTGTTGAGACAAACTTCCTCGAGAGCGTGAAGTGTTCTTATAAAACTGAACTTCCTTTTATATTCTTTTAATAATTAAATGGCTTTATCGATAAACTTTGAGTTTGCAATAAAATGATTTCAAATTCTCGCATGCAAATAACTTTGCTTTCTTTTTTATTTAAAAAATTCAATATAATAAAAAAGGGAATCAATATTAAAGATAAACTGAAATGGGGCACGATATGCTGTCTTGTTTAGTTGTTTCATATACGCAAAGGCCGTCGGGTTTTAAAGCAATTATAAAATCAATATTTAAAACAAACTTACCTTCGTTAACGTCGGCTCCCTTCTTTTAGCCGATTCTTTCGCCATTTCTTTCTTGAAATTTACAAAACCTTGCAAAAATGCGAGCAAAAATGAAATATATTTGCAAGAAATTTATCAATATCAATCATCAAATAAAGAAATGTTTGCTATTTCGCTGTCGTCATGCAGTCGTTATCATGCAAACTTTAAATTGGACCAATTACAGTGTTCGCCGTTCATGACAGTCCGCCATATTTTTGAGATCAGTGAGAATGACCACCCACGGTTGGTGACCCACGCCCGCGATATTTGATGAACTTTAGACTTCGCTAATGCTTAAGAGCGGTTGTCTGTAATAGTCAGGTAAGACGTGTAAAATGAGAAAATTCAAACTCGTTCAAACTTTGTCAGAATATAGGCCTATATGAAGTATTAATGTTGTGAAAGTTTTATTTCGATCGGATAAATATTGAAGGAGAGAGACGTCGAAATTGGTTTTCCCAGGCCACTTTCGATTTTTAGAGGTTATTTTACGCCACTACCAAAATCGCTCTATTTTGCGCGTTAATGGGAATATTTCACAAAACATGATTTTGTTTTATAAATTAGAGATATTTATTGATTAGCAGACGAAATTTAGAGACATTTCTGTAAAAAGTGAATATTTTACAGATTTTCTTAATGTTTTTTTATTTTCGAACCTCTTTATTATATGCCATATTAGGCAGCGAATATCTCCATTGTTACATCGATTCAGACAAAAAGTTCATAACCAGATCAAAGAAATATGTTTTCCCTTGCTATTGATGAAATAAAATTTTTGGGCAACTTAGAATTGAATTTTTAACGAATTTTTTCGTAACCCCTATTTGACCGGAATAACCGTATGTTAATATAATCAGCGTCGAGTCATGTAGTTCAATAAATAACCAAAGAGCTCGTCAAAAGCGTTTATTTCTTCGAGTAAACAAGCTTAAGCCTATAAAACTACCTTTGCTAAAGCTGTACGATTGGCTGAAAGCATTTAGGTCTAAATCACACTGTTTACAGTCGCTTCTTGTTCAGGTAATTTTAATAATTTAATTAACATTAAGACTAATACAAACCCCACCATTGGAAAGTCCTCAGTCCCGTCCTTCCTCTTGTCAAATGTATGCCATATAACAAATAAGGTAGACGAATTAGCTGCTGTTGTATCGATCTATGACCCATCCGTGGTAATGATAACTGAATCTTGGCTAAGTGATGATATCGGTGATTCCTCGGTTAAGATCGGTAATAAATACAACATATTTCGTCGCGATAGAAAGTCTCCTGGCGGTGGGAGTGATCGCCTACGTGAATAATTGTTTACCAGCAGAGCGTATGACTCACCTCGAAAAAGAAAACAAAGAAGTGATATGGTTGTTGTTAAAACCCCCCAGAACCCCTAGACCTTACAGTACAATCGTTGCTGCTGTTGTGTACTACCCTCCTGGTCAATCCGCCGAACAAGCAATCGATATGAATGAATACTTAACTACTTGTATAGATAGTCTCTTGCGCGAACGTCCTTCATCTGGAGTTGTTATAGCTGGGGACTTCAATCAACTAAAATTAAGAGAACTATGTAACAGATTTAATTTAAAAAGATCCGTAACTAAACCGACTAGAGGACACAACATTCTTGATCAAATCCTTACAAATATGCTCCCTCTCTTTGACCCTGTTAGCCATCTCCCCCCAATCGGACGCTCCGACCACCAATGTCTTCTAATCAAGCCCATTAAAAGACAGAAAACTCCGGTTACGTCAAAAAAAATTAGATTGATGAAACGAGCAAGTTTAAATGACCTCTCCCTGAATATAGCTTCTGAAGATTGGACTACTGTATATTCAGCACTGGATGTGGATGAGAAAGTATCAGCTTATAACTCCATTATAATCAAGATGCTTGACGAGTTCTTACCTGAAAAAACCATCAGAGTACATCACTCTGATAAACCGTGGATCACTGGTAATATTAAAATGCAAATCAAAGCTCGTCAGAAGACCTTTTCTCGTGGTGATCAGCCGAGATACAAACAACTATGCGAGAAAGTGGCAAATCTTATAGCTAAAGCTAAAGCCACCTACTATCGGTCCAAGGCCTCAGAATTTCGTACCTCGAATCAATCGAAGTGGTATAAC